TGGCCCCGTCTAATTCAGTCCACGTGCCACTGAATTAGACGGGGCCAAATCAGCCCGTTTTGGCCCGCCTACGGAAAATATTTTTGCGGCGTGCAGCCCCCGTTTTCTCGTTTCAACCCCCGATTTCATTGTTGTATCAAAGAAGAAGATGCAAACTATTGAGTATTAATACTTGCTTTGACAAAAAATAGACTTCGAGAAATTTTTACAATAAATTTAGTTAACCCTTAGCCCCGGATTGCCCCACCTGGCCCCTTCTGTGGCCCCGCCACAGGTGGGGCCATCTGTTTACAGGGGATGTAGGAATTTGAACCCTCATGACCACATAGGAAAGCGTAGTAATAATTGCCGTCTACTTATCAAAAAATTAGCTGCTCCGCTTTCCTCCTCATAAAATGTTCCCTTTGTGTTTTGTACACTTATCTTCAGTAAGCTCACAATTTTATTAGCTATACTGCAATGACGAGGCCCTCCGGGCCTAAATTATAAAATTTATTTATTTATTTATATCAATAGTCAACTAAAGAACAAAGACCCAGGCGCAGTATATAAGGGTGATAAAGGCAAAGAAGTCGTTGAAAATGACGAGGAAGCCTAGTACTGTGGTCTGTTCCATGTCTCAGCATTCTATTGGTAAACCGAGCTTCAGTTTCACAATGGTCCAGTGATTAAAATTATGTATTTCCCGGTATCTGTAGTGGAAATGGAGCTTGAAAACCTCAAGGAAGGAAAATCATCCGGTCCGGACAATATACCAGTAAAGTTTGTGGAAGAATTGGCGAAGGATTGCTGAATTCCTCCGTCTTCGGTCCTCCAGCTTCAGAAAGTCATTCCACCCTTACTCAATGGCAACAATCATTTTGTTACAGAGGATTTGGAGAAACCAGCATTGCTAAATTCCTTTTTTGCCAAGTTTTTTATCATCGAAACTAGCCCCATTCCTACAATCCCTCTGCTGTGTGATTCAAATCTCACTACCATTGATATCTCACCCGCTAGTATTCAAAAAGAAATAAGTCATCTTAAAAATTCACATTTAGTTGGAACTGATAACATTCCAAACTCACTTATTAAACAATTAAGAGATTTTCCACCTTTACTGAGTAAATTATTTTCAGTATTTCTTGAGAATGGTTTTTTCCCGGACTACTGGAAAACTTCTATTATAATTCCCGTTCTTAAATCTGGTTCCCGCTCGGATATTCATAATTGTCGCGGTGTTCATAAAACCGCTAAACTCTTTGAAAAACTCATCGCCAAAAAATTACAGCTTTTTGCATAAT